TATATATGAAATGGGACGACTTACACGCTTATAAAAATAGAAAAAGTCGACAACGTAATTGTAACCGAGATTTGATGGCGAGTGATAACTAAAATAAACTATAGCTATGATGACTAATTAACTAGTATAAATTTACTTAATCGCGTAATTTCCCCGTATAGTAATGAATTGTGGAGCTATGATGACTAATTAACTAGTATAAGTTTGTTTAACTGCGTAATTTTCCCATATAATAATGGATTGTATTTGTTATACCACTTTCTCTGAGTCTCGTTTGCTCCAAAATCAAATTTTATTAGGAAATACTTGTACAAGGTAAATTATTACTCGATATATAATTTATTCTCTTATGTTATCCTTTCTATTAAACACTATTTAATATTTAATACATTTCCAAAGCTTAAATTTAATATATTCAAAGGGTAATATAGTAATATTATCTTTATTATTTATTGTTTCTTAAGTTGTGTGTCAAATTAATAGTGGACAATTATTATTGGACATAAGAATAATACACTTAATAAATTAGATTTTAGTTGATTTTTAAAATTATTAAATATAAGAAACATAGTAAATTACAATTTTATCTATGGTAGATTCTTTTAATAAAGGGTAAAAAATTGGGGAAACTATATAAATAGGCCATAAAATTCAAAATATTACAAGTTCATACCCAAACCTAAAGTAATTTTTAAAATACTCATTCTCTCATAAATAATTACAGCTTATACACATTCATTAACGCTTATAATTTTCGCTTAACTGATACTAAATCAACATATAGTGTATTGGTATCATTAAGACTAATAATTTTCGCTTAATTGATACTAAATCAGTATCATTTATTGTATTGATATCATTAAGACTGATAATTTTGCTTAACTGATACTAAATCAGTATACTTTATTGATATCATTAAGTTTTCTGTTCAAAAATTACTCATTAGCAATGATACTATAAGAGTATATATGTAATTGGGTTAAGTAAGTAATTTGATTTTCTCCTCTTATCATATTTGTATAACTTGATAGTGTGTATAGTATATCCAATAGTGTTAGTGAAAAATTACAAAATAACATAATTACAATATTACAATTGAAAAATAAAACGAAAAAACAAAAATTTCTTCATGTTGAGGCACAGATATTTCGCTTTCTTTAAGGAGATTCAAGCCCACTACAACAATTGTTTTCACCGGTCCAGCAATAGTCCTTCTTGACTTGTCCCCTCTTGGATACAACAACCTTAACACAAAATATAACTCAACAACTTTGGACAAGAGTTGAGTCCAAAGCTCAACAAAAAGAACACCTCCCTTCAACTAATAAGAACTCTCTTTTTTGACTAACTTTTTCCTCTTTATATTTTTCTTGTATCTCTTAACCAAATGAAGATCACCACTATTTATAGTTGAGAAAGTCTAAATAGCAATGAATAAGAAGATAATGGGGTAGTAAATAGTGAAGATAAATGACCTAGAGGTTACCTAAGTTACAAAGAATAATGGAAGAAAAATTATGAAGAAAGAATAATGGAAGAAAAATTATGAAGAATTAAGTAGTGGTCATAGTTGACCACTACACACGTTCTGCTAGAAAGCCCCAACGGACAACAAAAATTCCCAACGTTCACATCAAACTTAATCAGCAATGAAGTGTGACAATTAAGCCAAATTCAATGGCTAAAGGAGTAATGCACCATGCTGAGTAATTATGCTATAATGGTCTAATTTCTGACAGGTATGAAACCATGGAATTGGAGAAAGCACTTCAACATAATTTTAAGAATATTAAAATAGTCCTAAAACCAACAATTTAAAATATGAAAATGCTCCTAAAACCAACGAATAAAAATGTATGTTGATAGTTATGAGAGATAGGATGGCAAACCATTAGATTTGAACTGGATTTCATTTCAGTGTTTGTAAGATCACTCAGAGATGCAGATGGAGTTGGTACTCCTTTCTCTACAAAATCTGGTTGCCTCTTTCTCTCATTCTATGCATAATTTGTGTATATGATGGAATCATGGAAAAATGATAGCCTGGTTAATTTGCATAAAATCAACTTCATTTGGACCATTTCTCCAAAAATGTCTTTACACTACAAATACAATTTAAGTTACTATAGAAAATTGTTTGTCTTACATACTTCTCATAATTCCATTCAAGCTTCTACTATTATCTGAAACTTGGGCCAAATTTTATGTCTTCGTTTGAAATTGTTGCGAAGACGTAAAAAAGTGTTTAACCAAACCTAATTACTTCATTATTTGTACATATAAGCCCAAACACAAACCCATATTACACAAACAACAGTAATTCATTAACCATATAGTAACTGCATGCACCGGCTTGAAAAACAAGTAATTAACATACATACAATACTTCTTCGACTATAACTGACTACTACTACTATAGCACTACACAGAGATTAGGATTGTTGTTGACTCCTTTCATTCATCCGGCAGCTACAGTCACAGAAGCAGCTACTCCACCAGGAGTGGTGGACATGTCGTGTTTGTTCCGTAGCTCCGCCCCTACCACTCCTTCTGCATCCTGCCTCGTCGCTGCCTTATCTGCCGGCAATACCTTAGTAGCACCCTGCGCAAGTTTAAATTAGCTTCAAGTTGAGTCTATCTACTATATCGAGTCTCAATTTATGTGGGACAATTCAAATATATCAATGGGGCAACACTGGAATATCGAAATACAAACTTCTCACAGTAAAATTCATACGATTTGTTACTAACCGATAAGACATCTCCAAGCTTAACTTTGTCCTCGTCTTTTATCATAGATTCATTATAGGCAGCAGCCGACTGAGCAGTGGCTGCTACGCCTCCAGGTGTGATAACATTGCTGCCTGTTGCGCGTACTTCAGCTGCTTGGATTGCTGCTGCATCGCATTGATCCACTGGTTTGCCCGGTATTGTTTGTCCAGCAGCTTCAAGAGCTTCTCCTATTGTGATTTCTCTCGTACTGCCACCACCACCACCTCCTCCGGTGGTTGCTGCTCCTTGTGGCTGTCCTCCGCCACCTCCTGTTGGCTGAATGTATTGTCCAACTACCTTTATGTCATCAACCGTACATAAAATTAGCCGCTAATCAACAAATATAGGAGCTAGCTGACCTTTCAATTGGTGAAGTGCCAAAATGTTGTTGGCAGTGACGGATTCAGGATTTGAAAAATAAAACATAGTGCATGAAATTTGAACTTGAAACTTAGAGATGAGTTTTGAATTCCCTATGCCACTAATTAAGTCGACCTCCAATCTTCTGTTTAGGTGAAACATTTGGAACTACGGTGGTCGTAATTTGGCCACCTAATCAAATCATTTGGTGTTTTCATCATTTTATTTTGACGAAAAATAAGTGATATTTTACATAATCAAGTTGCGCGCAATACATAATTAGTAATTAATAATGAGACAACTTTACCTGTCCAGCAACTGATTCAGTAATAATATTAGCTCCAGGAACCGCCGTCCCAGTAACGGTAACACCCTCTCTAGCCGCAACATCAGTAACATCACCCGGTTGAACCAAACCGGCGCTCACGTTAACATTAGCAGCTGATTGCATGGCAGCCGCTGGACCGCTCTTTTGCATCTTCCCGAGCACGGCAGTTTCAGCGCTCTGCATCATGGCTGCATCTTCCGGCTTAACAGCTTTTTCTCCTAGCTCACCAGAGACAGAAAAAACGTCGCCGTATTTGATCGGATCGGCTGCTTGATCACCTTGTTCCCTTCTTGGTTGTTGTTGACTCATTTTTTGTTAAAATTAAAACACTTGGAAATTATGAAAAGTAGATGTAGGATATGGCTAGCTAGCTCGAGCTAGAGGAAAAAATGATATATATGAATGTGTAATGGAAGAAGATTGAGGGATTGTTTGGATGGAGATGAGGGATTTTGGGACAAGTGGCTATTTGAAGTAATGTGGTGGCGTTAAACTATAGATATGGCAGGCCACTTGTCAAACTACTACTACTACCACCTTGAATATTGGCGGGTGTTGTGAATTAAGATAACTTTGTAAGGGTATATAAGTTAGACGTGGTGAATAAGACATATTCAGTTTATATTATTAGGTTGAAAAAAATATTGAACAGTTTTATTTTGGATCCAAGCTTTTTTAGCTATTGTTAAAATTAAAAGGTTTAGGTATTAAAAAAATGATTATGTAAATTATGTTGAAACTTTGTCTATCACCTTAATTAGTGCATTACTATTTTGTTATGCATATTCTACGTTATAACTATATATATATAATAGTGCTTGTGTTGGTAATCAAGTTTGTTACCGTGGGAGTGTTTGTAACTATTAAGTGCGGAGCTATATGGACAATTCAATCGAATTTAATAAATTTTGTTTGCTACATGGGTAATTTGATCGAATTTAATAAAGTTTGTTTGAATGGTATGTTTATATAATAAATTTATTAAATATATATAATTATTAAAAAATAAAATTCAATATTATCACTTAAAATTATTATTAGAAAATTTGGTACTCATAAAATTAAATTTTTATTATTATAGTTCGTTATCCAATGCGGGCGCTTGTATATTTTCTTCTATTATTCGCCTTAAGTTCATAGCAAATCAGTTATTGCTAATGTTTATATCGACAATGATCTGATTATGTCTCTGTTTGGTTGGAAGCTAATATTCGAAACTTTCTTCTTGAATATGGTTAATTTGAACCCTAATTTGCACCATAGAACTAGAATAACGTGACACCAGGGTGTATTTGGTATGAAGTAAACATTTTGTAATTAAGTCTTATTATAATTGGTGTTTAGCTAGTATGATCAAACTTTAAACCAGCTATTTCAAAGCAAAAGCCGATAGTGTAATAAGAGTTAAGTTGTGACTTGCAAATTAATATACGCAATTCCTTTTTCGTATTGAGGATTATATTTTTTATTTGCATAACCTAATTTAATTTACAAAGTAGGGGACCTTTACATAACCTGATTAACGACTAATTACAAAGTACCAAAACAAGTAAAGGAACAAGCTAATTAACGAGGAAAATATTAGTAGTAATATTATATACATTGTGAGCCAAGCTTAATTATGAACTTCTTTCATTTAGTCTTGCAGCTGCAGCCACAGATGCAGCTACTCCACCAGGATAAGCTGTTGTCAGGCTTGGATTATTCCGAAGCTCCGCCTCCATCACCCCTTGTGCATCTTGCCTTGTCGCTGCCTTATCAGCCGGTAATTTTGCAGCCGCACCCTATAAATGTTTGATTCCAGTATGTTTAAGATCACAAAATTTAAACGAATTTAATTAATTGTATATATAAATGAAAATCAATCATAATGAAATTGCTAGTCTCTTAAAGAGTCGTACAGTTAAGACATCGTTTAATTTGATTTTATCAACATCTTGAGTCAATCCTTCATTAGCCGATGCTGCTGATTGAGCTGTGGCAGCTAATCCTCCAGGGGTTACAACACTAGAGCCGGTGGCTCTAGCTTCAGCCGCTTGTATTGCGGCTGCATCGCTCTGTTCCACCGGTTTCTCCCCTGCTGTAAGGGCTGTTGCTGCCAAAGCTTCTCCTATTGTTATAGGCGCTTCCTCCACATCTCCCTCTGTTGTTGCTGCTGCTGTTGCTGGAAGAGGCTCAACATATCGCCCCAATACCTACAATTATCATTTAATTGTCTCACCTGACATCTACGCAATTTGTATAAAATTGACAAGCGTGTTAAAGTCACCTGTCCGGCAACTGATTCGGTAATTATACGTCTACCGGGGAGTTTGGTTTCAGCGACAGTAACACCTTCATCACCAGCAAGTTGAGTGGTATCTTCATGACTAACATGTCCACTTCTTTCGTTTTTGGCAGCAGCAGTCTGCATTACAGAGGCAGGACCACCCTTTTGGTTTTTCCCAAATACCATGGATTCAGCACTTTGCATCATGGCTGCATCTTGTGGTGCAATTGGTTGATCAGCTAACTCACCTTTTACATTAAAAAAGTCTCTGTATTTTAGGGGCTGCTCTGTTTCAGGCCTTTGAGGTTGTTCTTGGCTCATTTTTTTTTTGTTATATACGTATGCTTTACAAAAAAGGGTTATATATATCGATTATTTTCTTCTAGGGAAGTTTTTGTGTTGGAGATGCTCCAGGGACGACACGTGGCAACTCTGTGCAAACGTGGCAGACTACTTGGAAGCAGGAATGGTGACTCAGATTGGCAACTTTGAAATGTTCTTGAATAACCAAGATAACTAAATGAAACGTCCAACATTAGCCTTAATTGATCGCGATAAACAAAACTTTGGCATAAGCGATTTTTCGCTTCTGCGTTTCTAGGCTTCACAATAGCTCCCTTTTATTTCCAATTCCATTCTTTTTGCTTCCTTCAAGTTTCTTAATAATCATAATCACTGCTTAAAATCTATTAGTTTTTTGTTGATACGGCTAACATGAGAATCATGGCTATTGAAGTACAACAGTATACATCTATCTCAGAGGCAATTACTACTATTTACAACTAACTCCACTAGTATTGTCTTATTAAGAGATCAATCTACATACATACAGTTCTTATGCTATCAATTTGGCAATAATCAGAGTACAAGCTTCTTGGAGGCAATTGCAAGGAGAAAGCATAACTACACGACACAATATTTTCATACCAATACGAAAATTTACACAAGGTCATCATCCGAGCTAATGTTTTTCGAGTCCTGTGGGTTTATTATACTCTAATTTTATGGCTAACAGATACGTGAAACACCAAGAGTTTGGTCACTGTTTAGGAGGCAGGAGACCCACTGCTTACCTCCAAACCATTTCCTGCAGATTGAGAACCATATGTTATTGAATTGAAAACTTTGCCTAATCAAATGCAGAACTGAAAAGAATTTGATACACTAGCATCGACATCAGGTTAAGAGATTCAAATTTAAGAGTGTAAAGAACATCGGTTTTCTCTTGTGTTTTTGCCTTCTATGAGGTTAAGTATAGTCATCCAATTTCATAAACTTCAAAACACTATCACTTCGGAGGCAATATGATATATAAACATAAAACGGAAATCTAACCATCTGGATCAAAGAAAAAGGCTTGTTTGGTCTTGCCATCTGGTTGAGTCCTCTCGTGAACTTCAATTCCTTTCTCCTACATGACAAAGTTAAGAGAAAAGCAGTGATCGGCAGATCTATTAGTCATGGATAACCCAGAATTGAGAAAGAAACGAGACTAAACTTCCATCACTGAAGAACAAAAGACACTGGTCTACAATTCATGCATTAACATTATCTAAAACAAATAAAGCTATAACTCTGCAAAAGAACAATTAGCAGTATCACATTATTTTAACCAATTTTCAATTGCTTCACTTCACCTCCTATTAAGATGAAGCTAATGCTTTTGTTTTAAATACTCAATAGTCAATACAAATAGAACAAGAAAACACATGCTACAATACTGCAGTCCCCTTGAGAAAACTCAAAGATGCAACAATTAATCAACATCTCTTCCTATCCTTCACATACTCATTCAAAGGAATCTCGTTTACACACCTTTATTTTCAAATTGTCGTTACAAGAATTAACATCATCTAGAAAGGTAAAAGGGAAGTAATGGATAAAAAGATGTCAAAAATCATCAAATTAAAGATGATACCAACTCTTTGACATCAGGGCAAAAGAGCAACTCGGTGAACTAAGCTCCCACTATACGCCCGGTATCAAATTGACAAACCACCAAAAGAGCGAGAAAAAGGGGGTATTAGGGGAAGGGCCGGACCACAAGGATTTATTGTACGCAGCCTTACCTTGCGTCTCTACAAGAGGCTGTTTCCACAACTTGAACCATTAACCTCCACATCACATAGAAACAACTTTACCAGATACGTCAAGACTCTCATTCAACACTTTGACATCACTTTTAACATAATATTTAATGAAAATGCTTTCCCTTATTCCTCAATGTTGCCGATCACAAAATCCTTGTCTCCCTCATCACATTCTAGCTATTCATCTTTTGCTTTACTCGATCAAGCTTCTGAACATCTAGTGCGTTCACATTCTCCTACACACTCTATCGCGCCAAGGTCATTATCAAATATTCTAATTGCATTATCTATCCCCTCTAGTACTCAATAATCCAATTCTTGAAACTAACATTTTCTTTTAATCATAGTAAACAATTAATTTAGGGTAATCTTAAACAGAAATTGAAATTGAAAACAGCAACAGATCTTCCATAATACTTAAATCAACCCCCTCCCACCCCCCAAAAAAAAAAAAAAAAAACATTAACCACATAAAACTTTTTAACAAAATTGAAAGAGGATAAAATAGAGATCAACCTTGAGTTTCTGAACAAAATAATTGAAATTGGAGATGGTGAAGCAGACATGGTGACCTCTGGGCAGATTCTTCGGGTCGGCGATGGCTGACGTGGCACTCCATGGACCTTCTGGAAGCTTCGTAGTCGGGTCTCTCTCGATAAGGTGAAGATAGAAAGATGGTGCCAGCTTCAACCATATCACATCAAATTCAAATCTTGGAGCTTCAACTTTCTCAAACCCAAATATCTGCAAACCCATTTTCATCAAACAATCAATTTTACTCTAATTTAAACAGAAAAATCATAACCCTGATGTGATTTATGAAACTTAAGTAACGAAAGTTAATGCATTATCAAAACCTCAATGTAAAATTGGGCTAGGCGATTGATATCAGAGGATTCTCGGGAGACGTGATTAAGGCAGGTTCCTTGTGCTGCCATTTTTGTTGTTGTTTGTGTCTAGAGAATTCTAGTAGAGATATTTATTTGGGAAAACTACCTTAAACATACTTTTATATAATTACATATTTTCTCATTAATTAAGTGTTTTATTATCGTATATTGAGGAATTTATATCTAAATACATGTATTTTTGTTATCAAAATATACTAAAATAAGGAGAGACACGAGTGAGATAGAAAGGGAAGGGAGATAGTCATTATCCCAGATACATGTGAATCAAACTAGATTCATGTATTTTGTATGTAACTAGTGTGATTTGCATGAATCTGATTACCAGATGCATAGGAGAGTGGTGAGCAAGATGGGTGGGAGGTGGGAAGAGTTGTCTATGTATTTCAACTATATGTGAATTCACTTGAATACAATGTATCTAGTAGAATTTTCATATAATTTTGACGTATCCGAGATACACGTATCTAGATGTATATGGAGTGTATCAAAATATGATAAAAATTTAGTAATATTACAAATTAGTGTGTATCTAAGTAATAAACTCTAAAACTAATTGGATTTCTATAAGTTACCTTATTTATTTGCTGGGCTTAATCAACTATGCAACGTCGTAATGGAACATGTACACTCCGTCTGATCCATATTAAATGAATTGTTGGAGTTTGATAAAAGTTGAAGTTACTTTTCATATCTATTTTCTTTTTAATTATTTTTAAAATATTTTATTAAAAAATATAAAATAATTAAGAATCTCATTAAATAAAGATAAATATTAGAAAACATTTCAACAGTTTTCTTTAATTTTGAACAGTTAACTTATTTTAAATTATGAAAAATATCTAAACAATTTGATTAATTTGAATTAGATGGAGTATTCCTAATTCTTGTAATAAAATATTATTTATATATTTATAGAATATAATCTTTACCAAAAAATGGTATGAATGAGAAGTTTTTGCACGGATACTTAATTTAATTTCCTAAGTATAGTTTAGAGATCCTTTTGTCTCTCTCAGCATAAATTCAATGGAAATTAAGTTGTGCAATATAAATTGTGTAGTTTTTCAAAATTTATCGTAACGTGTAAAAGTTAAACTTATGTTTTTTGGTATATATTCTTTATCATTTTTAGAAGAAGAAGAAGAAGATATGTGTATTATTATTTTTCTCAAATACATTATATCCTTCTAACATATAATAAATTATATGTTTTACAATATAACTTATAAATATAATGATACGAATATATAAACTAGCTACATTTGCTATTTTTCTATTAAATGTTGTATCTTGTAATATTCCGAATTAGGTCTGCTGTTGTATCGACTATCGTCATATAAATACTGCTGTATGTACCAAAAAGAAATTTCTGGGTACTTTTGTTCCTTTGTAGATAAATAGAACATTGTTTGCTTTGGAAAAAGAATACTTTTGCTCCAACTTTCTGAAATGAAAAGTAAACGAATTTCATCTTAATTAATTCATTTGCAACTTTTTGATCATATTTCCTTTTTTAAGTATACTAACTAATGGACTCATCTTATTTTATTGACATAATTTGACTAGGCACGGAAATAAGATATTTTTTTTCATAATTAGATCAATTTATATTGAAATATTGTGTATTAATAAGCATATCACTAAAATTTAAATTGTATTTATAAAATTTAGAGAGCTAGTATAATTTTTCAATGGACCAAAAAAGCAAAATTAGTTCTAAAAATAATTAATTATTGTAATAAAATATTAATATAGAGAATAATTATTATAAATTTATAATCAGGTCAAATTGTATCAAAACGTTATATCATTATAAAAGTATGTTCTAAAATTTAAATTATAATTATTAAATTTAGAAAATTATAATATTTTAAACGAACTAAAAAAAGAATACCATCCATATAACTCAAATAAATTATTAGGATAATTTATGAGTTACTTGAACGAAGAGTTATTTGAAAATAACATTTTTATCTTTTTAAGTGATGAGTTATTATAACTTATGAATTACTTGAACCGCGATAACTATTTGAAATAACATTTCTATCTTGTTAAAATATTACATAGATCATATCGAAAATAAAATCTCGATCTCTTTGAGTCTTGAAATAAAGATACACCCTATACATCCAAGAGCCTATTAGAATTCCATTATTCTTGCCCTATGAGTATTTTTCATTTCTTGAATTTCTCAAATTCTCTTAACCCAATGGAATCAATGGACCATTAAGCATCTCTTTATCACTAATTACTGACAGTTTGACATAATTCATCAGTTCTACCCACTTAAACCTCTTTAATCTTGATCATCCACTTTTCAACCTCAAAAACCCCACTTCTCTTCATCTCTCTGCTGCTGCAGCAAAAACCCATTGTGGGTGTTCTTCGATTTGGTCTAAAGTTCTAACTTTCAACAGTAAGTTTTTCGTTTGTTCTCTGTTTTGATTTGATTTTAGCCTTTGTGATACCCCTGCTGGTTAAGTGAATGTTTATTTCGAAGTAAATTCAAGATTCACTTTTGTTTTTGGGCACATTTTAACAAAGATCAGAGATTTTAGTTAAGAAAAATGTAATTTTTTTTCATCTTTACCCCCATAAGATGAAAGAAAAAGAGATGGGGTTAGGTTGTTAGGTTGTCAGGGTCAAAATTTAGGAATGGAAGGTAG